ATGCAATTCTAAGCTCTAGGAAAAAAAAAAAAGCTATACAAGAAAACAGATTAAATCATAGCATACTATTTGGCTCCACAGTAAATGTTTTAAGAGTTAAAACATTAAAGGCTGGGCCAGTGGCTCACACCTGTAACCCCAGCATTTCAGGAGGCCAAGGAGGATTGCTTGAGGCCAGGAGTTTAAGACTAGCCTGAGCAACATAACGAGACCCGTCTCTACAAAAAATGTTTGAAAAATTGGCCAGGCCTGTACTCCTAGCTACCTGGGAGGCTGAGGCAGGAGGATCACTTGAGCCCAGGAGTTTCAGGTTATAGTGAGCTATGATAGTGTCACTGCACTCCAGCCTGGGCAAGACAATGAAGAGCATTTCTTAAAAAAAACAAAACAAAAAAAAAAAACACACACACACAAAGGAGTTATAATGATGTAAACATATAATACTGATTTATTAAAAAATGTGATATAACTATATTATGATGCTGGGAGGAGAGGGGAAGCCAAGGTGGTGATATGAGAAGACTAAAAGCTCATATTCCATACTAAGAGCTTAATACACAATGCCTAAAATTGATAAATGAAGAAACAGCAATAAGAGACAATATAGTAGGGTAGTATGATTACAAGCTCAATTCTGGAGCTACACTACCTAGCTTCAAATCCTAGCTCTTTAACAACTACTGATGATCCTGAAGGTGGTCAAGCTGTTTAACTTTTCTGTGCCTAAGTGTCCTCACCCATAAAAGAAGACAATAATAGACTCTGCTTCACAGGCGTTGAGATTAAATGAGCTGACAGCTGAAAAGCATTTAGAATAATACCTAGCACATAGAAGGTATTACCTAAGTATTATAGATTAGTAGTAGTTGTAGATTAACATTATTATTTAGAAACCCAAAAATAAATACCAGAAGAAATATGTAAAGGAGCTTAAAGTGGCTGCCACTGGGGAGAGGAATTTATGGGAGAAAGAGATAAGTCTGGGAATGCTTTTTTCCCTCATTAAAAGTCTTGTAGTACAATTTGGTTATTTATATTAGATTGCTTTGAAAACAATCAGAAATTAATTAAATGGAAGGAAAATTCATGACTCTCATCTGAAACAGATAAGCACAACTGGAGCTTAAGTTTGGCAAGAAGACTGATGCAGCACAAATGGCCGAGAAGCAGTATTCCCTAAACGCACAAAGAGCATCTACAAGGACCCAGTGTGGTCTAAGGGCTGACTCTGCATTCCCAGACCTAGAAAGTGAATTCAGAAACAGCAGCAGAAACAGTAACACAAAAACAAGAAACCTCCCAAGACAGCAGGTGACCGAACACCAAATGAGCACTGCGGGGTGTTCAGGACAGAGCTCTGTGGAGTGGTGTGGTCAAGAAAGGCGTCATGGAGCTGGTGAGAAGGCCTTGAAGAGGTTCAAGGGAGAACCAGGGGCATTCCAGGAAGGCATCCCATGCAGCTGAGGTGTGGGATAGGGTTGGGAAGATGCTCGATGCCAGCCTAATGAGTTGGCCTCTATTCTCCAGCCCCAGCTGCTAGTCATTAGGATCTTTCAGGGAAACAGACTAGTGAAGTGGTTTAAAAACCTGGGCTCTGGATCTGAATCCTGCCACTTCCACAGACCAGTCATGTGACTCAGGCTAAGTTATCTAAATCTCCCCAAAACTAAGTTAATTTATGTATAACATCAGGAAAAGGACTATTACATCTCAGGATTGGTATGGGAATTAAGTGGATGTACCAGCAACCCTTGGCTTAATACCTAGCAGAGTAGGCCCTCAACAAACAATAGCTATCATAGGAAACTCAACCACCCGGTTTCTTCAAGAAATAAATTCAAGGGGGAGAGACAAAAGCTACAGATTAAAATTCTTAAGAGACATATCAACCAAATGCAATGTGTAGACCTTGTTTAGATCTTGATTTAAATAAACTGCAAAAAAAAAAAGTGAGACAACTGGAGAAATTTGAATAGCGATTGCAATTTGATGATATTAAGGAATTACTATTAATTTTTTAGGTACAATAATGACACTGAGTTTTTTAAAAGAGTATCATTTAGAGATACACAATAAAATATTTATGGATAAAATGATGTGACATCTAAAATTTGCTTTAAAACAATCTAACAGATGAAGTAGGATTGGCCATTTGCTCGAATATGTTGAAGCTAGGTGATGGCTATATGGGGGTTCACTGTACTACTTTACTTTTAGAAATGTTTGAAATTTTCCCTAATAAAAAGTTTAAAAACAAAAATAAATAGAATTGAGTAAATAGTGGCTGTTATGGTTATTATTTTCTCATGGAGGTACACTAGAGTGTGAGCAAGGATCATGGCTTCCCCGCAGGGTCTAACCCCAAGTCGTCTATGGATGATACAAGCTCAATGTAAACCTGATCATGTCAGATCATTCCCTTGCTTTTTAAAACACTTTGATGACTCTCCTCTACTCTAGAGGTAAAAACCCCAATTCATAACAGGGCTGTTTACTTTTAAAGGGCCCCACCTATCTCTTTAGCCTCCATTCAGATACATTTCTCTTCCTATTCTGTACTCAGCCTTTTTTCCATTCCTCAAATGAGTCATACAGACCCTAAGCACATGTTGTGCTTGGCACTGCCCACTACATTCCTCCCCTCATCTTCCAACCACCTTCCACCTAATCCCCTCCTACTCTTTTTTCAGATCTCAGCTCAATCTGCACTACTTCCTCTAGGAACCCCCCACTGACGAGCCACCCCCCCACCCCCGCCAAGCTAGATAATTCTCCCAAGTATACACTCTCATAGTCTGTCATACACCTCTCCTTCCTAAAACTTAGCACAACTACAATATTAAAATGTTGTTCTTGTTATCATTGCATCCCCAGCACTTAGCACAGGGCCTGGCCTAGAGCAAATGACCAAGAAATATTTATTGAATAAACAAATGAGTGAATGATGATGATTCAATGACAAGTAGACCCCCCCCTTCATCTCTTTCCACTGTGACCACAAGACCTCACTGAAGGCCCTAGCATCAAACTGCTAGACATCAAAAGTCCCAGTCCTCCCTCACCAGTCATCGCCTACGTTGAAGGCATTAAGGCTCTTGGTGAAGCCTTGCATATTGGTGGGGCTGACTCTCTGCAGGAAGTCAATGTAGTCCTCCGAGTGGAATCGGCACATGTCATGCTGGGAGGCCTGGTATGGCTTGAAGACCTCGGGATGGAGACACAAGATGAACCCAGGTAGGGTCAGCCCTTCTCATAGGGCTGAGACCACCCACACTGAACCCAGTCCTTGAGATTGTCCAAAAGCACATCCGGCAATCCCCTCACCCCCAAATCCTTGTTATGCCATGAGACAAAGATCAGTGAAGAAGACAGACTCCGATTAGCCAGGTGGGTTATTATGATCAAGCCCCTGAAGACCACTTCTTCTCCTTCCCACTGCCAGCCCAATCTCTCCTACTTTCTCAACCTTAAGCTCTGATACACCTACCCTGTTCCCTGGATCTCCTATTCCCGGTTCTCTCCAAACTCATCTACTCCCCTGGGCTCTGATTCTGCCCTCTTTCCTCTAGGTTCTTTATTCTAGAGTCAAATATATAGGATATATGACAATCTTCTAATTAAAATCTAAGGTGCTAAACCAAATATTATCTTATTATCTTTGGGGGGTGGGCAGCATCACAAACCTCTTTGAAAACTGGACAAGAAGAAAGACCTTTTCTTCTCCCAGAAAATGCACACAGGTACACACTGGCAAAGGGATTCATAGACTCCTGCACTAACATTTCCTCCGTCTTTTCTATGACCAATCCACTTGTCTGTGCCTCAGCACAAACAATGAACACTCATTCATATTGTTGACTAATTCCCATAATGCCTGGCTTAACTGTTATTATCCCATATCACAGCTATAAATTCCAAGCTAGCAATGTATGTATGTCTGGGAGATAAAGGATGGAACAGCAGTTAGGCAGAACCATGTAGAGGTATTCTAGGTTAAAAAGGGGATACTCGGGACATCTCCTACTAAGGGCTGCAGAGTCGGTCCTGGAGCTCAAGCTCCTTGGAGGTAGAGAAAGGTCGCAGTGGAGAAGGGGTGGGAACTGAAGGTAAACATCACACCCCAATACAATGATCCAGCCCCCCATGCCTGAGGCCACACCCTAAAATGCACTGTCTACAGCCTAAAATGCACTTCACACCAGTCCCACACCACCCTAACCCTAGGCCAAGGACTAGTCTGCTTGAGGTCAAAGGGTGGCCAGCCTGTGGTGAAAAAGTAACTTCCATTAAGCCAGAGGACGCCACCCCCTACACTGCGCACATTGCTCCTGATGTCTTCTATGCAGCCCCCTCTACTCTAGGAGCAGGTCGCACTTGGTGCATTCAGTCCAGCACACTATTCCGAAAGCCACAGCTCGCCCCACCCCCAATCCCCGGCAGAGGCGGCGGGACTCACGATCATCTTCTTATAGAGACCATAATGCAGGACCAGGCTATGGGTCAATGCCAGCCGATGGGGCTTCATAGGGTGCCCAGCCCCTGGGGGTGGGGAGAAGAGAGTTCGTCAGTTTCCATTCCTGGAGCTGCAGCCCTTGCCTCAAAACCTCCGCGTCCCAACCCCTCGTGCACAACCCTGTTTCCTCACCGTAGTGGAAGTTGCCCACGTCGGGGTCGTAGAAATAGGCCACGGTCTTGGCCATGGTGCCGGCGGGACCAGGCCCCGCGCCTCAGCCGCCTGCCCGCCAGCCCCACCCCCAGCCGTGCGTGCTGCGCAAGCACGCAGCCTGCTCCTGCGGAACCGGGAGGCCCAGGCCCCGCCTCCCCGAGACCACGCCCGAGCCACGCCCCCTAGGGAGCCGCGCTCTGCACTCCCAGCAGTTTGGGTTTGAGCGTCCGGGCTTGGGCGGGGAAGCGGTAGCGTCGGTCCTAGGATGCGAGGGCCATTTCTTTCCCGGGGGTCATATCCTCGGGAAGCCGAGCCATCCTATCCAGCCGCTTACCTCAAACGGGGCGCAGGCTGTGGTCACCTCCCTAGGAAGCTCCGAAGATCCAGCCACGCCGCCCCTCTCAGGTGCAGAAAGCCAGCTTCCCCAAGCCCGCTGGGAAGACTCCTGACTATCCTCTCGGTCCCGGCATCTGAGGGCAGGAGCTGCGCCAGGCGTGCGCGATAGACAGTGGAGAACACCCTCACCGGACCGCCCGTCCGCTGCCCGGACCCAGACTCAGCGCCGCACATTCCTCCCGGGGGGGGGCCCGGCGCAGTCACGCGCGCACCCCACTTGCGCTCACACGCGCGCAAGGCTCACGCTCTCCGCCCCGCACACCTGCGCTCCGCCCCTTGGTCCTGGGCCGGCGACCGGCAAAAGCATTTGGGAAGCCAGGGCACTTGCGGAGGCGCCCATCTCCTCCCTTACCCAGGGCCGGAGTTGTCCTAAGCCTGCCGCCGCTCCCAACCACCCGGCATCCCTCTCCATCCTTCCCTCCCCCCCGCCGGCCGTGGCACCGGTATCCGCAGCCACAGCCCGGAGCCGGTGAGGCGGCGAAGGGGGGAGGGGGAGGAATCAAGGGATGAGCTCCGGGAGGGCGTCGGGGACCCTGAGCCGGACTAGGAAACCCCTGGAGCCGGAACCCGAGGAGAACCCGGAGCCAGAACCAAATCACCGGTACCGGGTGGGCCAGGTGGTCAGGGTGGGGGGAACCGAAAGGGGAGAGGTGCGAGAGTACAGGGAGGGGAGGGGGCTGCAGAGGCCTGACTCAGACCAGCGCAGAGTAGGTGCAGACGCTGACTCAGGCGCGATTTCTGCTCCCGCCGCCTAAGAATTCCGTCCCATCTCGCGCTGCAGTGTCCTTGGGAGGGACGGAAGCGCGGACGAGCTGGAAAGGGGAACGCTCTGGGCGTCGGGGAAGCAGGACGAGGGTCGTGGAAGAGGGCTTGAGCAGCCTCCGTCTGACCTCCTTCCCCAGGCGGTATTGGCGAAGCAGCACCCCTGCCCCGGACAGCTCCCTAGTTGGGTAGGGGGTGGGGCCGGACCTCTTGAGATGTGCTTGTTTCGGATCTTGAGGATGGCATTCCTACCCCTCCCCCATCCCCAGCTGCAGCCCCCTAAACCCAGGAGGCGCCCTGGCCCGCGCTCGCCCCCCAGGGCCTCATGTCGGAACCACAGCCTGACCTGGAGCCGCCCCAGCATGGGCTGTACATGCTCTTCCTGCTTGTGCTGGTCTTCTTCCTCATGGGCCTCGTAGGCTTCATGATCTGCCACGTGCTCAAGAAGAAGGGCTACCGGTGCCGTACGTCGAGGGGCTCAGAGCCTGACGACGCCCAGCTTCAGGCCCGTGAGTGAGGAGCCTGGAACCCTGACTCAGTCACCTTTCTCCCTCACCCCTCTCCCCGCACCTCATTCTGCCTCCCTGGCCAACAGACCCAGGCCAAATTCCAATTAAGCCTATAGGAAGCCTAGTGATGCATTCTTGAGTCAGCAAGTGGGATAACACCACCCTGAAAGCAAATCTAGGGAAGGCAGCATGGACAGGAAGGGTCCACTGATGGCAGTCTTGGGCTCCCACTGACATCCCCATCTTTTCTGGCCCCTGAAATGCTAAAGTCCAGCATGATGGCAAAAAGGTACAGGGGTATGTCTTGCGCAATAAGCCATGGGGGCCACTGGGTAATGTCCCCCAAAGCTGACTCATTCCTGCTTCCTTGCCAACCTCTTTCATCCTTCAGCTGAGGACGATGACATGAATGAAGACACAGTAGAGAGGATCGTTCGCTGCATCATCCAAAATGAAGGTGGGTCTAGGCTGGCCTCTTGCTTCCCCCTCCCCCAGTTTTCTCTTGCCCTGACCTCCACCTCCACTGACTCCCTCTTTCCCTTCTCCCCTCAGCTAATGCTGAGGCCTTGAAGGAGATGCTGGGGGACAGTGAAGGAGAAGGGACAGTGCAGTTGTCCAGGTGAGCTGGAAACAAGGGTCAGCATGACTTGGCTTGCCTTGGGGAGTACCCTCTCTTCCAGCACAATCCTCTCCCAGGCCCTCTGCATGTTTGGGGCTGGGGGTTGGACAGGGCTGGCTAACCTATAGAAAGAAAGTTTTATAGAAATCCTCATTCCTTCAAACCCTGTCTCCCATCTAGATAGCATCAAGCCTAACGTTCACCTCTAGTGCCACTCCTTTGGGTTAAGCATTGCCGTCCTTTTAGCAAACAGCCCTAGGAGGAAGAACACATGATCAATAACATCCTAATATTGAGTTTATTAGATAAAGAGAAGAGTGTTGGGGCCTGGGGAAAGTGGGGCTGCTGGGGGGTTTAAGGAGCATGCTGAAAGAACAGAAGAAACATCCCAGACAGGAAATGGAAATTTACCCCTGCTCCCCTACTCCCTACTGTCCAGCGTGGATGCCACCTCCAGCCTGCAAGATGGAACCCCCTCCCATCATCACACAGTGCACCTGGGCTCTGCAGCCCCTTGCATCCATTGCAGCCGCAGCAAGAGGCCCCCACTTGTCCGTCAGGGCCGCTCCAAGGAAGGAAAAAGCCGCCCCCGGACTGGGGAGACCACCGTGTTCTCTGTGGGCAGGTGGGGACAGAGTGCTCCAGGGAAAGGGAGGTTGAGGTGGGGGCCCCAATGATCCAGCACCTGACCCCAGAGGTAGGCCCTGACTCTCCTGGACTGGGAGCTGCAGCAGGAGGCAGGCTGCACAACGTGCCCCACAATCTGAGAAGGCTTCCCTTGCCTTAGGCCAGAGGGAGGTGGCCATCAAACCCAGGATGTCCTTGGTCTGAGGGGAGGGCCAAGCAGCTTGTGAATTGAGATCTTAAGTCCTAGTGTTACCTCCTCTTCCAGGTTCCGGGTGACACATATTGAGAAGCGCTATGGGCTGCATGAGCGTCGTGATGGCTCTCCCACGGACAGGAGCTGGGGTTCTGGCGGGGGGCCAGACCCAGGGGGTGGCCACGGGTCTGGGGGAGGACAGCCCAGGGCAGGGATACCTGCCATAGAGAGGCTGCCCCCTGAGAGGCCACAGCCCCCAGTCCTAGCAAGCCCCCCAGTGCAGAATGGAGGACTCAGGGACAGCAGCCTAGTCCCTTGTGCACTTGAGGGGAAGCCTGGAGCCTCTGCAGAGCCAACACCGAAGACTGGAAGGAGGGGCCCCAGCCCAGGGCTGCCCACTCAAGAGGCAAATGGACAGCCAAGCAAACCAGACACCTCAGATCACCAGGTATGAAGACATGGCCAGGGCTGTGGTGGGCTATGGCAGGCCCAGCAATTATTGCCCCCTACTCTGGGGGCACTGATATGACCCACCTCCTGTTCTCCCATTGACCTCTCCCCTTTCAGGGGTCTCCACCACGGGGAGCAGGAGGTATGTGAGGTGAGTCTGCCTGAGCCCTAAGTCAGGTAATCTCATCTTCCCATCACCCACTTAAACTACTTAAGCCTGTCAGCTCCCTGGACCCCCAGGGTGAACTGCAGGCTTAGTCTTTGCTATAAATTCCTTGGTTTGGTGGTGGGGAGTGGATATGTGCTCCAGGGATAGGGAAGGTCCTGTAGCCACTGGGGTAAAGCTGGGACAGAGCTTGAACAGGAGGCAACACTGTTACTCTTCCTCTCCTCCAAGCCTCATTCTTCATTGCGCTGATGGACTACAAGCTGGCAGGGCCGGGGGTGGGTGGGCATGAAGGCCCTCCCCTCCACTGGACAGCACTGCTCCCCAGCTGAGGGACCAGCTCTATTTCCACCTGGAGTTGCACGGTCTCAGGCTGGGGGACCTCAGGAGAGGCTCCCCCATCCCTAGCCCCTCACTCTCTTTCCTTTTCCCTGCCTGCCAACAGGCTGCCTGACCTGCCTTCCCCAACACCTTGCTCCATATGCTAGAGCGTGGCAGCTGGGAGCAGGCCCCTGCCCTTGGTGGGCCCCTAAAGCAATAGCACCTTAGGCCCCCTGCCCTCTTGGCACAAGAGGCCCAGGCTCTTGCTTGGCCTTCGTGCCCTTTATTCACTGTCAATAAATCCGCTCAGACCATTACAGCTGCTTTGCATACTGGCTCCAGCTCCTTCTGACTCCCAAGGCCTGTTCTTCTCCTACCCCCAACCCCAGTGACCCTGGCATCCAGAGCTGGGTGGGTCACAGAGCCCGGGTGGAGACATAGATGGGCTGGAGCCACTCAAGACTTTGGGGGATAGGTTCCAGCCCCAGAGACATCAGGGTATGTCACTGCCCTGGAGATAGGGTGGTGGCAGAAGATAAAGGGGTAGTTCTAGCCCTAGAGATGAAAGGGGGACAATGAGGAAAAAGGAGTGGGTTCCAGCCCCAGAAATGGGGAAAGGGGAAGTTCTACCCCTAGAAATAAGGGAGATTTCAGCTTTTGGCTGTGTTGCTCCGGATTATTGAGGGTGTGGTCTCTGGCAGCACGGAGATAAGGGCAGCAGTATCACTGGGGGCAGTGATCCCCCTGGCCTTCAGGTGAGGGGATCTGGGTGGCCAGGATCCGGGGCTTTAGCTGGCGGGGGAGGTGGTGGGCGCATCTGTAGGAAACACATAGTTAGTGCTCCGGAGTCCTCCCTTGGGAGTATTCCTGTCCATTTCCTCAGCCCTGCAGACAAAGCAGGACCAATTGGAATGACCCTCTGCATACAGTCTCCTCCAAGGGAAGGACCCTTACCGGCCTGAGTCGAGGTGCCATCGTGTCCAGGAGTCCAGCGAAGTCCAGGACTTTGTCTGGAAACAAGATCACAAGTCTTCAGATTTTGTTTTGTTCAACACTGTATCTCCAGTACTTAGGACAGTGACATTCCACAAATACTTGTTAAATTAATGAATAGACACCATCCTAGGTCATAAAATCCATCAATCCATCCATCATCAACAAACATTTATTGGGCAACTGCTATATAATTAGCTCTGCTCAAGGTACCAAAGAAAGGGAGGTGGGATACACAATATTCCCACCTCCAATGGCTGTCAGGAACCCAGTGATGAAACATCAGCCAACACAAGAAATGACTGAGTGCTAATTCATTCCAAATGAACTAGGGGTGCTGGAGATGGTGATGACACCACTGGGGGTGGGGGGTCATCAGGGAGGGAAACTCCCGGTGGAGAAGGCAGAAGTACCAGAAGGTTTTAGAAAAGGTGGGCATTCCAAGAGAAAAAATGATTACACAAACCTAACTATTTGTAAGATTCAAAGACATTAAGAGCAAAAAGTGCATATTGGGAGAACACAGTGAGAGAAGTTGGCTAATTTTTAAAATAGTAACGATAAAACAGTGACTATTTGTGTACCCTGCAGACACCTCTTTTTTTTTTTTTTGAGACAGAGTCTCACTGTGTTGCCTGGGCTAGAATGCCGTGGCGTCATCCTAGCTCACAGCAACCTCAAACTCCTGGGCTCAAGTGATCCTTCTGCCTCAGGCTCCCGAGTAGCTGGGACTACAGGCATGTGCCACCATGCCCAGCTAATTTTTTCTATGTATTTTTAGTTGTGCAATTAATTTCTTTCTATTTTTAGTAGAGACGGGGTCTTGCTGTTGCTCAGGCTGGTTTCGAACTCCTGAGCTCAAACAATCCGCCCACCTCGGCCTCCCAGAGAGCTAGGATTACAGGCGTGAGCCACCGCGCCTGGCCCAGACATCTTTTTTTTAACTCTCACAACAATTCAGTGAGGCAGTACCTTTCACTCACTTTATTAAGAACACAAACTGAGGCCCAGAAAGGTTAAACATCCCACCTCAAGTCACACACTCAGAAGCGAAAGAGCAAGATTTGAACAGTCAGCCTGGTTCTAAAGCCCAAGCAAGCTCTTCTCACCATCAAGCTCTAGTGGACCTTATTGCAAGGTGCCTGAGGGCACAGAGAGGAATGGCGTGTGACCTAGGAGTCCCAGCTTCCTCCTCCTCCCTATCTGTTATCCCCCCAGAGCCCCCAGTTCCCTCTACTCACCCCCAGGCAGGACAGGTGCAGGGAGCTCATCCAGCGCAGAAGTGGGTGCAGGTGGGGAGAAGCTGGGAGGAGATGGGGACGGCAATGTCTGGGGGTAGGGTGGGCACAGAGTTATTACTGGCATGTGGGAAGGTTTCGCCAGCTTTTCCTCTCACTCCTCCTTTAACTCCTACCTCACCACTCCCCAATACAGGAAGTAGCCAACCACTTGTATTCAGGTAAGGGTTGTAGTTGATATACGCAGTTCAACAGCCAGTATGCTTTGAACACTGTGTCTCAAGTGTTCTGCCAGCATGTCACATGAACTAATTCATTCAGTCCTTACCACTACCTCATTAGGTAGGCATTTCTATGATTCCTGTGTTAGAGGTGAGACTCAGATTAAGCCATCTGTCCAAGATCATAGAGCCAGTTAGTGGCAGAGTGCTGGCTAGAACCCAGATCTCCTGACGCCCACTCCTATGCTCTTCCTGCTATGTATACATAACAATAGGTATCCTATATTAAAACACCTCCTGTGTGCTAGTGTGCTAAGGGCTTTGCCTCTATTATCTCTAATCATGACAGTGAGCCTGCTGTAGCAGGTATTATCATCCCCATTTTACATGTGAAAAAACAAGAGCCCCCAATTCCCTCTACTCAGAGAGGTTAAAATCACTCCCCAAGTCATGCAATAGAAATTTACACTCTATCCAGTACTAAAGGAGGACCTCCAAACTCCTATGGTTTCCTTTTTCTCTGCCCAGCCAAAGGAGATGGGGAGGACCAGGACACTGTAGGAAAAGAACCTGGGAGGATAGGGGCCATTAAGATGAATATGGGGCCTTATTGGGGAGGGAGGGTCAACCCAAAAGTGCCTGAGGATGCAGGGAAAACAAAGCCTCACCTGTTCAGAGTCAGACAGTTCAGGTGGCCCTGGGGGGCCAAGCAGCTCCTCCACCAGCAGGGAGGGGAAAACCCCAACATGGCCCCCAAATTCTCCCCTCCAGAAGCCGTCATCCACTCCGTCTTGGGCCCGGGGCAGCAGACGGATGAGTGCCCCTTCAGGGAAGCTCAGCTCCTCTGCACTCTGTCCCGTGTAGCTGTACAGGGCACGAGCCAGGAATGCTAGAGGCACAGGAGAGATGGTGAGAGAGACAGAGAGAGCAGGTGGAGGTACCCCAGGACCATGACGCCCCAGGGCCACACCACCTAATAACTCTTCTCCATACCCAGGGCCTCCTTACCCAGAATTTCCTTTTCTTACCTGTGGGCTCTGTCCCTGAGGGATTGTCGCTGTCATGGCCGCTCTCAGGGAGGAAGAGGTCCGGGAAGTTGAGATACCGCTCAGGGACAAAGCCTACCTCACCGTGCTGGTTCCGAGCCTGCTCCCCCAGCAATGTGAACAGATGTCAGCCTTACCTAAGCAGTCCATGGCCCTGGCTCTCCTCCACTCAGGCTTCTAGCTTCACCTGGATGGGACCTTGGGGGCCACAGAGAAGTCCTTCCCACTGCCCCCAACCCCAGGTCAGAACCCAGGGTCCCATACCCACCTTGACCCATTCGTCAGCATCTCCCTCCTCTATGACCTCCAGCCACTCACCCTCCGTGATGGTCAGCTCATCCTCACGCCCTGCCTGTGCCCCACAAGGAAGGATTTAGGACTTGGCCGTCCCCCGCCCTTGTCCATCTGAGGGCCCTAGCCTTATTCACACCTGATAGCCAAACACTACATGTGCAGGGCAGGGGAGGGCCCTGGTGGCCAAAGCTGGGGGGGCAGGCTCCTCAAAGAGCTCCCCTGTCTCCTCACATTCCTCAAAGTCGGAGAGCTCAGCATCCTCAGCCTGGAGAGGAAGAGAGTGACATGATTACGGGGCCCACTCTCCAGTACTGGTTGTATCGCATCTCCCACTCCTCCCTCCTACCCCTAAAGGACACCGTGGACCACAACCAAAATCACCACAGAGCAGGATGATACTAACAGCAATAACAGAGTTACAGTAATTGAGTGCTTACTATGTGCCAGGCACATGCTAAGTACGTTATGTGTATTGTCTCATTTAATCTTCATAATGACCCAGTGTTATTCTGTACAACTATAAACCTCATTTTACAGATGAGGATACTGAGGCTCAGAAAGGTAAGTCACTTTCCAAGTTCGCACACCTAGTAAGTGGAGTGGCTGGTACTCAGACCACTTGCAGACTGCCCCCAGAATCTTACTTCTTAACCACCATATTATTCTCATAATAAAAGTTTATTAAGGGGCCCGGGCGTGCTGGCTCACGCCTGTAATCCTAGCATGCTGGGAGGCTGAGGCAGGCGGATTGTTTGAGCTCAGGAGTTCGAGACCAGCCTGAGCAAGAGCGAGACCCCATCTCTACTAAAAATATATAGAAAAAATTAGCTGGGCATGGTGGCATATGCCTGTAGTCCCAGCTACTCGGGAGGCTGAGGCAGAAGGATTGCTTGAGCCTAGGAGTTTGAGGTTGCTGTGAGCTAGGATGACGCCACGGCACTCTAGCCCGGGCAACAGACTGAGACTCTGTCTCAAAAAAAAAAAAAAGTTTATTGAGGACTCTCTATGCCAGAAACTATGCAAAGAATTATACATGCATGATTTCACTTAAGCCTTACAACACCCTTTGAGTTAGGTACTATTGTGACTCCAATTTTACAGGGTCTACCTTCCCTATAAGGGAAGTCGGGGAGTTTTACCCTCCTGGAGGGTGTATGGGTAGGGTCAGGGGAGGAACTCACTGTGGGAGAGAGGTCCCTCTGGGACAGCCGAGCCTCACTGAGCCGTCGCTCCTGCTCCACCTCATCCTGGGCCTGGGTCATAGCTGGCTTCAGCCAGCGCTGCACATCCAGGCCAGCCCCCTGCAGCAGGGCCAACCGGGCAGCCCCCTTCACCTGGCTCACCTGGCATAGGGAGAAGGGAAGTTAGTGGACCCTGGCCAACTGTGTCTACTCTCTACCTCCCCCCCTCCTCCCCCTTCCCCATCAGCAGAAAGAAGAGTGTAGAGGGGGTTGCCGGAGAAGGTGGGATCTCAGTGGCTCTAACCCCTAGGGCTGTGCCTTACTTGTGCCCGCCGGATGTTCTC